GGTGTGGACTTGGTCAAACTAAACTAAAAAAATATTCCGGTCAATTTTGCAAATTTCCGGTCAAATTTCGTTTTGATCTGAAGTTTTTCCGGACAAATTTTAAAATTATTTCAGGCTCTGAGTGTGGGTCAGTTAAACAATGGGAAAAGACCAGCCTGCTTTGCATGCACTGTTTGCCTGCAAATCGGGCCTTTCAGAACCGGAAATCTGGCTGGAGCACATCTTCGTTCATTTGATTTGGCAAAAGAAACACAACAAATGGCAAAATTCGCACCATGCTCGTTTGCAAAAACAACTGCAAACTGCTTTAATTCTTTCTGTCAATTTCATCTCATCTGTGAGTTGGGCCAAAAAAATATATGTGGGTTTCCGGTTTCCCGACCCTACCTAGCTTTTGGACTCCGAAATCCCGACCCTAAACTTTTTATTGGATCATGCTTGTGTTTCCACTTAGAGAAAAACGCTTGAGGAAAATGGAAATTTGAGGCATTCAGGAAATTAATCTTTGGATGTGGAAGCACTGACTAAACAAAATGGCGTCCGCTTGTTAGGAAAATTTAAAAAAAAGTTTAAAAAAAAAGTTAAAACCGACCTACCCTACCTAAGTTTTTACAAGAAGAAATAGGAAACCCATATATTTTTTTTGGCCTTGGCCTCAACAGCCCAAAGAATTAACTTACCCCACCCATTTCCAGTACCCCTCTCCTGTTATTTTAGTTTATATGTTGTAATTTTAGGCAATCACTGGTAAAGAAGACTTTGAAGAGTGTAGACAATTGCTGGCTCACCATCACTGGGACCTACAGATAGCTGTACAAGATGCACTGAACCAAGCCGAAGGAAGAGGGGATGTTTATCAAGAAGAACAGAGGGATGTCTCTACTGACAGTGATCAAGAGTACGCTCATTTTTTTTATTATATTAGGCAAAAAAAAAATATGTGGGTTTCCGGTTTCCTCTTGTAAAAACTTAGGTAAGGTAGATCGGTTTTAACTTTTTTTTTAAACTTTTTTTAATTTAAAATTTTCCTAACAACCGGACACCATTTTGTTTAGACAGTGCTTCCATATCCAAACATAAATTTCCCTAATATTGCCTCAAATTTTCATTTTCCACAAACGTTTTCCTCTAAGTGGAAACACTTACAAGTGTGATCCAATAAAAAAGTTTAGGGTCGGGATTTTGGCGTCCAAAAGCTAGGTAGGGTCGGGAAACCGGAAACCCACATATTTTTTTTGGCCTTACCAAAACCGTGGGTGCTTCCTCTTGACCCCAAAAAATGTGTGCCATGTTTTCCTGTTGAAACATTCAGGAATGTGACTGCATTCTAGCCTAAGTCTCAGGCCTTGCCGTACAGTGACTGGGTCGGTTTTGACCGCAGGAAAAGGCCTAGATATTTGTCAACTTGCTCAATTTTTACAGATTTTATTGAAAAACAAGCTTACAATTGACATTTACATTAAAATTTACAATATATAAAGTTAATGAGGAGAAAAAAGAAACGTGATTGAAATTTGTATAGAAAGTGAGTCTTGTGCAATGTCCAAAGTAGCTGGAATCTTTCGAGTTGGGCACTGCCTACAATTTATAGTAAATTTTAAAAAAATATGCAAATGTGCACAGACTATGTGTCATCCTGACTTTAGAAAAAGAGATAAGCTCTTAGTCCTAAATTCATGAAGTAACCTTACCTGAAAACGTTGTAAATATGTAGAATCTAGGGCCAAATGCTCTAAGGGCAAAAATCGTTCCAAAAAGGGCAGATTTGCGAATGGTATGCTGGGCCTTCTTGTTTCCCGCCTCTCCCCAGCCAAGGTAACAACTCAGCTGACCGAATTCCTGACGTTGTGAGATTGACATGTTGGGAATGACAACATTTGTTGGTTCATGGAAAATTATGCTGAAATTGGACCAATTGGCTAATAATAGTTTGACAAGCTTTTCTTGATGCGACTACCAGGAATATTACACAATCTTTTATACTAAGAATATAAAATTAATTAAAATGAAATTAATAATATTAAGAATTGTTAATAATAAATAATCGATTATGAAAATGAACCGATGGGTGCAGCTCTAACAAATTTATTTTTATTTTTATAGGCTTATTGAAAACGAACCTCCGGGTCCAATTATAGAACCTGCCCCAATGGTAAATACTAAATATAATCTAACTTGCTGTTTCGCTCATAATTACAAGCTTATTGTGCAACCATACATGTCAAGCCAGACTCTTACCCATATGTAAAATTCTGTAAGCTATATTTAGTTATTGCTGTGTGTTAGTATAATTTAATACTACCATATATTTTTACAATAATGCTATTAACATGCTAGTTTATTTTACCTGACTTTTTACAATTCCTAGGTTTACTTTCCAGTATATTTTCAGCGATTGATATGATTTATATTTATTTATTATTTTAGTCAGACCAGGGCTTATATATATATATATATATATATATATATATATATATATATATATATATATATATATATATATATATATATATATATATATATATATATATATATAACTGTATATCAACACGGAAAATGTTTTATATTTGTTAAGTTGAAACTGATTATAAACTCGTAGTTTTTATTGTTTTTACATCAGGTCTTCACCTGCATACATATAAAACTTGACATGCAAGGAAACGAGCAACAACTAAATATTTAATGCCAACAATGTTCAGTCTAAACGTTTAAATGTCAATAAAATGTTTATGGTCGGTCATATTTCTGACAGGTCGGTCGGAAACCTGAAACCAACTATTATTTTTATTTGGCCTGATGCGCAGAATGGACTTTACAGCATCTTTAAACAACAGTTCAAATTTTAGTTGTTGGTTTACATGCAAAACGAAGGCATGCTCATTCAAAACCGGTTAGAACTGCTTTACTTCGTCCAGAATTTCGGGTGAACAAAAACACAAAAATAGCAGAGCCTTATTTTCCTTCTCAGGGATTAATAAGGGTATAGTATACGCTGTACTACTAACTGTACTATTTTTACGTTGATTCTAATTTTATTTATCCTGTAATAGGGTTGGTCAAATTGGTTGCTAAACATGGCTTCATTCCCCTTTACATTTACACTATCAGTTATAACAGACCTTTACAGATTTATAGGTATGCTGTTTTTTAAATTTAATGTGAATTACTTTTTAAAATTTTTGGCAAAGTTTTATTCTTTGTTAATTGCTAACAATTTATTAATAATTGTAATTCTTTTGTAGTTGGACTGGTTGGACGTTCGTTATTTGGAGGTATGAAAATTTTGAATTTCTCTTTAGAATATAATAAGTATTTAGGATTTTGAACAAAAAATTTTGAACAAAAAATCAGTATTTATTTTCGTGTACATATACCTGCGAACAGGCTGTACTTGAGCGCCCGAAATTTGGCTTCACCCAAACATAGGCCTTCATCAATCTCGTTCCCCGAGCCCGCGATCCTCAGAAAGGAACGCGAGGCTCTGGGATAATCCGTTTCAGGGAGGAATCTGATTGGCCGTTGATATGGAATGCACAGTTCAATCTTAGCATTATCTTAGCCAGGATTAGCATTATCTTAGCCATATTTCCCGACTCATTTTCAGCTGATACAACTGCGCTAGAAGATGTATTAAAGTTTAAGGAAGAGTTCGAAACAAAATATGGCGGAACCCATCCGACATTTTACCAAGGCAGTTATAGTCAAGCTATTGAAGATGCCAAGAAGGAACTACGATTTCTTTTAGTCTATCTTCATTCATCAGAACATAAAGATACAGAACAGTTTTGCAGGTAAGCAAACACGAATAAACTCTTGCGAAAAATAATGCGAATGAAACCTTGTAAAACGCTAATGATTGACCGATAATCGGGCCGATTTTTGCCTTATCAGTATACACGCGTAAAAACGCTCAGGTTGTTGCAATATTGATGAAAACTGGATTGAACAATATTTTGCTTCCCACATTGTTCACAGTTGTCAACAATGTTGAACAATATTGTTACACCCAATTCAGGCTCAACAATATTGTTCAATATTGTTGACAAGTGTGGGCAACGTGGGCAGCAAAACATTGTTCAATCCTGTTAAACAGCAGGCTCAGGCTCAGCGTTTTTAGCCGTGTACCGTAATCGGATCAGTATAATTATATTCGTATTTCCGATTGTGTAATACCAATTGTTGGGAAAATATGCACTTTAAAAATTATAATAATAATAAGACTTTATTTAAAGAGGATAAACCATAGATATCTTATATAGACTAGATAGCGCATCTCTTTTAGTAAAATTGAAGCCAAGAATATTCCAGCGGTTACCCCCATTCGAATAGATGGCGGCCATGTTGGTGTTTCCCACTCGCTAATAAACGCTTAAAAAACAACAATAACTTTCATCATTTGAATACTTTAAAAATGTATTTGGAATAGGTTTACCTTAATATTTAGGTTCCGTGTTTAAGAAATAGAAAACATACGAATCTTCTCATTTCATGTGAATATCCTGAGTTTGCAATCACGGCTTCAATTTTTGAATGGTAGAATAATTAGATGCACTATCTAGTGTATATAAGATATCTATGGGATAAACGCTAAACAGTTACAAAACTGATAAACATGCGGCCCTCAAATATTAAAGTAGATATAATCATGGATTATATTAAATAAGATATACATAACCTTTGGATTTCAGCTTCTTTATAAAACGGTATCCACCTAAGCTTATTAAAAATAGAAACTGACCTATAGCACGACTTTCTTTGTCTAAAATTAGCCTATAGCAGCACGTTTCGGCAACTTCAAAACGGAATGTAAAGTAGCCTTAGTATAGTTAAAGAACTACAGTATAGTAGCTGTATATAGAAACTAAGTCTCTCTTCTAGGGGGAGGTTTTAGGGGTAATGGGAAATTATGTAGTTTTTTACCTGAAAAGGTTGCCACAACGGCCGCCTGTTCATGAAAGGAGCCACATGGCCATGATTCATCTTGGATGAAACAGGCTGTTGTGGCAACCTTTCGAGGTAAAATTATACATTGCGCGTTGATACACGTGGCGTTTTAACGCAATATGTTAAAGATGCTGTAAAGTCCGTTCTGCGCATCAGTTCTGCTCATAACAAAGGGAGGCCCGCACATATAAACATTGAAACGTCTAGTTTATATTCATTTTCAAGCATAGCGAACCAGAAGAGTGTTAGATATTTAGTTAGTATATAATATTTTACAAATATAGCGTTTGTTTGCATTACGGACTTTGCAGCATCTTTAAATGAATGCGTGAAGCGTGTCATTTGTGAACGATTTTAAGGAACATTGGTTAAATGCAATAACATGTTATTTTAAGTTGGAAAATTATCGTTAAAAATTTAAATGATTGACGTCACCTTTACCCGGTCGATTGACATTATGACCTCATTATAAAATCGATATTGGGTAGACTGTTGCACAAATAATCGGTAAAAATATGTGGCCAAAAAATATGCGGGTTTTCGGTTTCCCGACCCTACCTAGCTTTTGGACGCCGAAATTTCGACCCTAATTTTTTTATTGGATTATGCTTGTAAGTGTTTCCACTTAGAGGAAAACGTTTGTGGAAAATTTTTACAAAAAGAAATAGGAAACCCACATATTTTTTTGCCTAATCGGTAATTTCCGATTGTGGCACAATCGGTGAAACATAACACAATGGGTTCCGCTTTGGGTTCACATCTGTTCATATGATTTTGAGCATTTTTATCACCTGAAAGTTGCAGTATTAGTAACCTTACTAACCTAGACACATTGATCCTAGGTCAACCTTGACCAACGAAGGACTTCAGGATTATATTAATGGTAATATGTTATTTTGGGCAGCTGATGTTCAGAGTCGGGAAGGATATAGGGGTAAGTGTCACGCTCAAGTGTCTGAGAACATTGAGTGGAACTCAGAATTTCGTTCTAGACATAACAACATGCTCATGCAAGTGCAGTGAATGCAATGAAAAAAAATTTTAAACTCTCTATACATTGTGTGACGAGTATAAAGCATTTTCTGGCCAAACTACATTAAAGGTTTTATCATCATATTTGAGTCAAATATGATGGAATATCCTCAGCTGACGCAGGATCAGTAACTTTTACATTCGTCGTTGCCATAGTAACTAAGATAGGCCTCGCTATAGGGTAGAATATAGGGTTTGCTCCAAAAATGATATGAGCCAAACTAATTTACCGAGGATTTTAGAAACAGCTTTAATGGACACTTAATACATCGATCTATGTCATGAACCTAAAAAAATATACAAGTAATATAATAAGGCCTTCATATTTTACTTTTTTAAAATTATATGAAGAAAGGAGTTCTTATAAGGCTACTCTTGCAATGTATATTGCTGATATATGAAGTTTTTTAGGTCCATGACATGGCTATGTAACAAGCAAATAAACTCTGAAAAATTCGAACGAATTGATTCAGTATGAACAGTAGGAGAGTTTTTAGTATTTCGCAAAATGCTCATGTGAGAAAAGCGATTTTAAAGTTTTTGCATATATTAGAATAACTTAGATAGAACAATATAATTGAAAATGGAACAATAGACTAAACCAATCGCATATCTTTATCGCTCCGGGTAAAATCGTGGTTTTACCCTACGAAGGTGTAGAATTTGCTGGATTTCTCTGGTTTACGGTACATTTTAGTTCTTAAAATTACACGGATTTTATAAAGAACGCTATAAAGACTACATTTTTACGTTTTTCTAAAAAATAACGAATATTGGAAAATTTGGGTGGAAGACCACCTTAACACAACAGCGAGAATAGGAGGCGGGCATCTTTTTATTGCCAAATTTGTCGCACATTACAATATAATACGACAACTGTTTATAATTAAATTTATAATTTTAAAGTGTAATGGCGAAGAGAATGCCTCAAATAACATAATATTCTTAATCATCATCATGCATACTTAAATACTCTATTGTTTCTCATCGAGGATCTACCCATATCTATGGATCTACCACACAATGTCAATGAATATCGTCCCGTGTTTTTGTTAGATCATTGTTGTTGTACAATGAGTATAAGGAGTACTATACAGGGTGTCTAAAAAAAACGCTATGGAAATTCAACAGGCTGTCGTGCATCATAAACTTAGCTAAACAACTATATAGGACGAAAGAGCTGTTATTTAGCTTTTAATGAGACACCTTTTTCAAATCGTAACGATGAGAAATGGCCACATACTCGTGAAATAAGAATTGCATGCCTGTCGAAATCACATCATTCTTCCATCGATGCGTTGGGAATTGAAAATACATTAATTATGCAAAGTTGGTCAATCCAAAAGCAACGCGAGCCTGCTGCAAGCTATTTGTTTCGTAAAACGTTTTGATTACGAATGTTCTCTGTTCAGAGGTTAATTGAACCATGTTTATTAAACTTCAGGCTCGCGTTGCTTTTATTAAGTTATTGTCTCACTATGACGAAGACTGACGAGTTGAGCTAATTTTAGATAATTTAAGGCCCGTTTTATACGTCGAATTTTGGTCGCGTCGAATGCAATTAAGACAATAGATAATGAGATGATAAACCTCATTAAGCTTCATTATCTATTGTTTGAATTGCATTCGACGCGACCGAAATTCGACGTATAAAACGGGCCTAACATTCAATATTAATTCCCTCTTGGGAATTGTCTATGTTTCGTTTTTCATGCAATTCCCCACGGTGGAAGAATGTGATGTGATTTCGACCGGCAATTTTTATTTGACGAGTGGCCATTTCTCATATATAGTCACGATTTGAAAAGGTATCATTGGAAAGCTAAAATTCTAGACATAACAACATGTTCATGCAAGTGCGGTGAATCTAATGAAGCGGTTTTTGTCTTCGATTCAGTTAGTAACGCATCGTCGGAAAGCTTTTAATATCTTCATTCCTTCTCGACGCAGAATTGAGTTTCTCCAGAAAAATATCACACAGTTGAACGTCGAGTTCAAAGAGATAAACGTGCCCGACCACAGACTAAATAACAAAAATCGCCTCTCGGACAATGCCGATGCTAAACGTAAAGCAGAATGTATAATTTTCGGACAGGAACAAAAGATAAAACAGGCAACCACCAAACAACATGTAGAAACATTTTTAAGTTTTAAGAATTGTTTTTTTCTCTTTTCGTCCATCGACGTTCCTTTAGTTGGAGCAACCCTTTCGTCCTTGCGTTTTGACTTCGCGATTGTAAATATTGTGTAATTTGAATAAATGAACAAGAATAGGAGCAATGAAAAATATACAGCTATACGAATATGTTTAACAATTATTTTAGCCTCGACATTTACCAATGCGGATAGACCCACTGTTATAACTGTAAATATTGCCTGAAAATATATAACCCTTGTTTTTGTGACGGATGCTTGATGGAAAAATGGACAGGTTAGGGCTAGGAATCGTTCAACATTCAGCATAAAAAGCGCAAACAACGAGGAACCTTGTAAAATAAAAAATATGGATATCCTTGTAATCTCGCGTATTTCATTCATTTCTTCAAGAGAAAAATAAATTGTAGATACAATCAAGAATGGATGAGCGATGCTGACTACAGCCAGATCAAAACAAGATAATACAAGAATCGTAAAATAGCATAATTTCCTTCGAAGTTGTGACGACCTCAACAGACTGATTATAACCACAGAATTTAGGAACATTCCTGCGACCATAAAGATTATATTTATAATGCACAGAAATACGACACTAAAAATATCACTTTTTTGCATATTGACGACCTGTCTTGCACAATAACTGAGTTCTGTTTCTTCCTTTATTATTTTGCCTTATTGCTCTGCCCACATTCAGTTTAAACTGCCGCAATAATTTCGAAGACACTCGTACATCTGTTGTTATATACATTTTGTCGTTTGTAAGGACTTTAACAAATATAGGACGTCTTTTTGAAGGGTTTTTGCTAGTGAAAATTTTGAGCGAAAATTATATATATGTTATTTACCGGATTGGAGGTCCGTATAGAGAAATATTTCTCGAGGTCTTAAAAACGGCCCGAGGCCGAAGGCCGAGGGACGTTTTTAAGACCGAGAGAAATATTTCTCTATACGGACCGACCATACCGGTAAATAATATTTTTATTTTTTTTAATTCCTCCTCTGGATTTCCTCAATCACTCCTCCCGCACGCGAATGAAGCTGCCAAATATAACGTCGTTTCTATCAATGCTATATCGGGAAGAGTAATATCTTTTGTGAGATAGTAAAGTTCGCTTTCACTGTGTTCTTCATCGTCTGTAGACATTTTAATATTTTAAAAAGTAGCCTTTAAACTCGTCTTTAAATTTTGAAAAATAAATACATTGGCTGTACGGCTTTAAATCTCGCGCGGTCCGTACGGGCTCATACAGCGTAAAATATGACTTCGGACCGCAAGAAAAAAATAAATACATATATTTTAGACCTGACCGGGTGCAGGTACTACCGCGGTGTTCCCATGCACCCAACTTTATCCTTTCCCTTGGTGTAAATAGGCTTGCGGGATTGGTATATATACTCTCGCCTCGAGCTTCGTCCTAGCTATGAGCTCCGCGCGTGGTTTGGGTATATTAACACGAAGATTTTTGGTGCCAATGGCCATAGGCACAGGACATTTTCGTTCGATTTGGATGAAAATTGGATGAAAAATTAACAACATTTTTGTGTAGGCTGAATGCGTAATTAGTCCATCTGTCCATTGTATAATTTATGCATGATGTCTTGACTTAATTAAGGCCAAGTAAAAAAAAATTAGTAGTTTCTCGTCCGAATTTTGAAAAAAAATGAGAATGCGGGCGCTTTTTTTTTGTTCAAGCTTCAAATATTGCTCTTAAAGTTTACCAAACAGCCTACAAACACACGCAAATATTGAAGTTTACTCATAAAACGTAAATATATTAAAATAGACAAACAGCTACTAATGCAATATGGCGCCAAAATAACAATATGGCGCAACCGAACTATGCGGAAAGGAGCAAAATGGCGGAAATATACTAAGTGGAAATTCTTTGAAAGGCTCGAATATAAAACATAAAAAGAAAGAAAAATCCATGTGGCGGGGGAAAAGGATGCGGGTGGGGACGAGAAACTATACTATAATTTGTTTTACTTGGCCTAACTGGCGGAGGCACATGATTAATGCAGTGTTTGAGGCTCTCTAGTTGATACTTATAATCCTTATAGCTTAAACTATAAACATAGACTTTGACATTGACATAATCTATTTCAAAAATTTTAACCTAAAATTTTTAAACCCTCTACATTTTATGACGAGTATAAAGCTTTCCTAGCGAAAAGGAGGCGGACATCTTTTTATTGCCAAATTTGTCGGACACATTACAATATAATTCGACAACTGTTTATAATTAAATTTGTAATTTTAAAGTTTCTTGCTAAGTGTAATGGCGAAGAGAATGCCTCATATTCTGAATCACTTTCATATTTATAAATACTCTATTGTTCCCATCGTGGATCTACCACACAATAAATATCGTCCCGTGTTTTTGTTAGATCATTATTTGTTGTTATACAACAAGTGTATATTACATGTATATTACTTTCCTAATAAACCCATGGGAAAATTAACCAACCACATTCCAATATAATACGACAACTGTTTATAGTTAAATATATAATTTTAAAGTTTCTTGCTATAAGTGTAATGGCGAAGAGAATGCCCCAAATAACATAATATTCTGAATCGCTATCATATACTTAAATACTCTATTGTTTCCCATCGAGGATCTACCACACAATAAATATTGTCGCGTGTTTTTGTTAGATCATCTGTTGTCGTACAACGATCGAGTATTATATATGTTACTTTCCTAATAAACAAATGGGAAAATTAAGCAACCAATGTTGACGGCCGTGTTTTTTTCTGAGAACGATCAAATACATGCATAAGGAAATTTGGAATTACAATTTCGATCGTCTAGGGCCGAGGCAAAAACTAGCGATATATAACGGGTGGGTTTAACTCAGAATTTCATTCTAGATATAACAACATGTTCATGCAAATGCAGTGAGTCTAATAAAGCGGTTTTTGTCTTTAAAGAATTAATACAGAGCGAATTTTCTATATACAATACCCGGATAGATTGTTATAATAGCAATTCAGTTCGTAACGCGTCGTCGGAAAGCGTTCACTATCTTCATTCCTTCTCGACGCAGAATTGAATTTCTCCAGAAAAATATCACGCAGTTGAACGTCGAGTTCAAAGACATAAACGTGCCTGACCACAGATTGAATAACAAAAATTGCCTCTTATATGCGAAACGTAAAGCAGAATATATAATGTACGGGAAGAAACAACAGAGAAGACAGCCAACTGCCAAATAGCACGTAGAAATACTTTTGAGATTTAAGATTCGTGTTTTCCTATTTTCATCCATCGCTGTAGTTGAAGCAACCCCTTCGTCCGCGCGTTTTGACTTCGCGATTTTAAAAATTTTGTAATTTGAATAAATGAACAAGAATAGGAGGGATACAACAGTTACACTTGCAAGAATAGCGACAATATTTTCCAAATTAAAATATACCAATGGCGATAGACCAATTACTATAACCGTCAAAAATGCCTGAAAACATAGAAGCCTTGTTTTTGTGACTGATGCTTGATGGAAAAATGGACACGTCAGGGCTAGGAATCGTTCAACATTCAACGTAAAAAGCGCAAACAACGAGGAAGCACATACAACAGAGAATATGGACTTCTTTGTGGCCTGGATTATTTCATTACTTTCTCCTTGGGAAAAATAAATTGTAGATACGATCAAGAATGGATGAGTGATGGCGACTACAGCCAGATCAAAACAAGATAATAGAAGAATCATAAAGTAGCATAATTTCTTCCGAAGTTGTGGCGACCTCCATAGACTGATTATAACCACAGAATTTAGGAATATTCCTGCAACCATAAAGATTATATTTATAATGCACAGAAATACGACGCTGAAATTATCACTTTTTTGCATATTGACGATTTTTCTTGCACAATAATTGCATATATTTGTTTCTTCATATATTTGCCTTATTGCTCTGCCACATTCAATTTAAACTGCCGGAATAATTTCGAAGACACTCATTTATCACCTGTTGTAATATACATTTGAAGGACTTTTAATAACATGTAAATATAGGGCTTCTTTTTGAAGGGTTTTTGTTAATGAAAATTTTGAGCGATAATTATATGCATATATTTTTGATACGACCGCGGTGTTCCCACCCAACTTTATTTTCCCCCGATGTAAATAGCCGTGCGGAATTAGTATATTCTCGGCGTGGGCTTCGCCCTATGGCCCTATAAGATCCGCGCGTGGTTCGGGGTAATACACGAAAATTTGTGGGGCTAATGGCCATATAGGCACAGGACAAATTAATTAACTTTTTTGTTCGATTTGGATGAAAATTAGAGTTAGCTATTACATAAGTTTTCTCACAAGGAATTATTATATTTCATGGCATCCGAAGCAGAAGTAGCGAAAATTAGCGAAGCTGAACGGCCAAAGCGAGCTGTTGTCCGAAGAAATCTATAGAAGGCGTTAGATTAGAGAAGCTTCGAACCTTAAAGGCGTCTCGTTGTATTGGTACAGCGAAAGAAGCAATCTGTAATTGTGTTATGTTGCCCGAGCAAGAAGGATATGCGAAAGCAAGAAAGATACTTCATAACTCATTTGGTCAAAGTCGTATCATTTATACCTGCAGTGTATACCGAAGGGAGGTGTAATAAGAGGCGGTGAAAGTGATAAGTTACTTCAGTTGGCGATGGATATGGGAACTGTCAGATTAACTTGACTCAGTTGGGTTGCGAATCTGAAATCAATGCACAAAGTAACCTCGAGAAGATTGTTTCGCGGTTACCTAGACACTTACAAGCAGAATGGGCAAAAGAGGCTTTCGCTATATTGGAAAAAGGGAAAGTACCCACCTTTTTGAATCTCACGAGTTTCATCATTGCGAAAGCGAAGTTGGCTAGTAGCGCATTTGGTCAATTAATTGGTTCCAAACCGCAAGAAGATATAGCAGCCGCAGAAATTCAGAGGTAGAGAACCACAAGGGACATCCTATGCAACTCAGGGCGATTCGAACATTCCAAGTTGTTACTACTGTAAGAAGGTTGGTCACTTGTTGGAGAAGTGCTACTCTTTCAGGAATCAAAATTTCGAGTCTCGGAAGGCATTTGTGCTGAAGGAAAAGCTTTATAACATTTGTTTCGGTAAAGGACATTTCGCGAAGCAATGTAGAAAACGAGACAATTGTATGGTAGCTGAATGTGGTCAACGCCATCATAGCTTATTACATCCCGTACATGCATCCATTGGGAAAGGAATCAAGGACGAGCCTGAAAAGAAGGTGGACAAAAAATCCGTAGATGGAACTAGTAATGGTCAATGTGGTGTTACTGGGCCCGGACGTCCTGGGGTACGTCTGAGAGTCCTACCTGCTAAAGTTCGTGAAATGGGTGAAACAGAGGAAATTGAAACGTACGCATTATTAGACGATGGTTCTGATGTATCTCTTTGTGACAGTAATCTCGTCAAGCAACTGGGAATTACTGGAGTACCTACAAGCTTCTCATTAACAACAG